ACAATCTTTCTTGTAGTGTCCTGGCTTATTACAACCAAAACAAGTGACTTTGTTAGTATCTTTGAATTTACTAGAAAAGAACTTACCTTTCTTCAAAAATTTTCTGAATTTGCATGTGATTATTTCAAACTCTTCTTCGTCATCGGAATCCTCATCATCAGTAGATGCTTGGAAAGCAAGAACCTTCTTGTTCTTATCTTCATTATCCTTTTTCCGATCTTCAAGTTGCACCTCGTATGCCATCAAATTCCCTATCAAATTTTCTACTGTCAATGTGGAGAGGTCGTTGGCTTCCTCTATCGCGGTAGTCTTCTTCTCCCAATCCGAAGTAAGAGCCCGGAGGATTTTCCTAACCATCTCCACTTGTGTATAGTCCTTTCCTAACGCAATTAGGGAGTTGATGATGTCGGTGAACCTTGTGAACATTTCACCAATTGTCTCGTTGTCTCTCATCTTGAACATTTCAAACCTGTGCACTAAAAGAGAAATTTTTGAGTCTTTAACCTTAGAAGTTCCTTCGTGGGTTACCTCAAGTGTGTGCCAGATTTGATGTGCAGTGTTGGAAGTAAACACGCGGTTGAATTTATTCTTATCCATTGCGCAAAACAATGCATTCATTGCCTTGGCGTCAAGATTCGCATTTGTCCTTTCCACCAATGTCCATTCAGAGTATGGAGTAGTAGGCTTGTTGTAATTAGACTCCACTATGTTCTAGAGATCGAATCCTATCGATTGAAGGTAGATCTTCATCCTACACTTCCAGTAGTTATATTTGGAACCATCGAAAAGTGGTGGTCTTTGAGTAGAATGTCCTTCCTTGAACTGTGATGTAGATAGTGTAGCCATTGTTATCCTTGATCAACCCGCTCTGATACCAATTGAAGGATCGCTGCAATGACACTCAAACACTAAAAGGGGGGGTTGAATAGTGTTTATAAATCTAATGCGGAAACTTTAAATTTCAATAAAATAATATCACAAAGAGTAAGAAAGATCAAACCAATGTGTAGACAATCACAGAAAATTGCATACGCAAACACAAGGATTTATACTGGTTCGGTCCTCCAGACCTACATCCAGTCCCCAAGCCTCGCTTGAGATTTCTCCACTATTTCCACTTGCAAAACCGCAAGCACTTGCAACCCGCAAGCAAACCGTACAACCTTGACAATCTTCAATTGCCAATGCCACAACAATCTCTTCTTTCAAGAGATTATCAAATCAAAAACAAGATGGTACAACTTTCTCTTCCTATAAGCCTTGATGTGTAGATGTGAGTGACTTACAATAGGCTATAGGAATGGTTTTTGTTCTAGAGCCAAGTCTGGAGCCTCTGGTCAACCAGGTACATATCTGGTCGACCAGACAGAGATTTTTCAGACTCTCTGTTTCTGGTTGTTATATCTGGTTGACCAGACATTTCTTTGGTCGGCCAGAAACTATGTTATACATATTTTCAATAGATTAAAATGTTATCCATTCGTTGATTAGACTTAGGATTATACTTAGAATATTTTCTATGATCTTCTAAGTGAGTAGTGTGTGTTGTGTGTGTGATCAAGGCTTGTACAAAGATTCTAAAAGAAAAGATAAAATTATATCACTCTTGTAAAGTATATTTTCTTCTTGAAGCGCGAAGTGACTTGATTAACTTCATCTTTTGATCTTTGAAATCTTGTCTTCGAAATAGCCTTAATAACTTGATTGTTGCTTTGAGATGTATATCTTGAATCTGCAGTAAAATATGTTAGATAAATAATGATTTGTTATCATCAAAATACAAGAGATATTGTAACATCAACCATGTTCCCAATAGTCACATTTGATGAGGCGTACATGATAAGGCCTCAAGTTCCTTAGTAAGTGGAGGAAGACCAGAGTAGTGAGATATCGCAGCAGATGGAGGATGATGTGACTCCACCCACTCATGATAGCATTGTATCCATTGAGGCTCCTACAGAGGTGATACTGGAAGGAGATGGGATGACAACCGGGTATATAGAAGATACAATGGTTAGTGAGACTCAGAAGCAGGGTCATATTCAGGAGTCCATTGAAGCAAATAGACCTAGAAAGGTGATTCGTTGGCCAGCTAGATATAATGATGTCATGGTTGCATATATTTTATCAGTGGAGGTCGTTGATGATATGGTTCCTTCTACATTCAGGGAGGTAGAGTCTAGCTCTTATTCAATCAGGTGGAGAGAAGCTATGGAGGAGGAGATGCGGTCTCTTCAGAAGAACAATACTTGAGAACTTACAAAGCTACCTAAGGGAAAGAAAGTTATTGGTTGCAAGTGGGTATATGCAAAAAAAGAGGGATTTTCTATTGGGGATATTAGGTACAAAGCCAGATTGGTTGCCAAGGGATATGCACAGCTTGAGGGCGTTGATTACAATAAGGTATTTTCACCCGTTGTGAAGCATTCGTCGATTCGGATTTTTTCAGCATTGGTGGCAGAGCTGGATTTGGATTTGGTCTAGATGGATGTTAAGATAGCCTTTCTACACGGAGATTTAGATGAGAAGATCTACATGACACAACCTTTGAGATTCAAAGCTGCAGGAAAGAAAGATTTTGTGTACAAGCTGAAGAAGTCTCTTTATGGTTTGAAACAATCGCCCGACAGTGGTACAATAGATTCGACAGCTTCATGATTGACTATGGATACACGAGGAGCTCATATGACCCATGTATTTACATGTACAAGCTACAATATGGTGAGTACATTTATTTGTTGTTATATGTTGATGATATGCTTATTGATTCCAGGAATTCTTCGACTATTCGAAAGTTAAAAAAAGAGCTGACATCTGAGTTTGAGATGAAGGATCTTGGAGAAGCTAAGAAGATATTGAGTATGGAGATCGAGAGAGACAGGGTGAATGAGAGATTGAAACTTACACAGAGGAGTTACTTGCAGAAGATGTTGAAGAAATTCAGCTTTGATGGCAATGCAAAGGCTGTGAGTACTCCATTGGCTCCCTACTTCAAGCTTTCAGCTTTGATGTCACCTGTTTCGGTTGAGGCCTGAGATTATATGTCAAAGATTCCATATGTCAGTGTGGTGGGTAGCTTGACGTATGCGATGATGTGTACGAGACCAGATTTATCACAGGTCGTGAGCATGGGATCGAGGTACATGCACGACCCCGGGAAAGGTCTTTGGGATACCGTAAAATGGATTCTATGGTATATTAAAGGCACCGTGGATATTGGATTAATTTTTTAGAAGAATGAGAGGACAGGGCAGGATTGTATTGGCTACGTGGATTCAGATTATTCGGGGGATCTTAATAAGTGTCAGTCTACTTCAAGATATGTGTTTATATTGGTAGGAGCACCGGTATATTGGAGATGTACACTTCAGTCTATAGTGACTCTCTCTACTACAGAGGCGGAGTATATGGCGGTGACTGAAGCTGTTAAGGAGGCTTTATGGTTGCATGGATTGTTGGAGGACTTAGGGATTGTAAAGGAGACCATTCGGGTATATTGTGATAGCATGTCGGCTATCTATTTGGCAAAGAACCAGGTTTATCATGCACACACGAAGTATATTGATGTCAGATTCTACTTTGTTCATGATGTTTTAGATAATGGAGATGTCATATTAGAGAAAATCCACACGAAGGACAACCTTGTGGATATGTTGACCAAAGTTATTTCAGAGGTAAAATTTGATCATTGTTTGAAGCTATTGAACATTCTTCAATGTTGAGGGCCTTTGGAGGCTATTTGGGAGAACTACGTTCGGCTTGATTCCTTGGGCAAGAGGATACGTAGACAGTCTTTTCGATGCAGCCGGTTGGATTTGTTGATTTCGACGGGGGGAGGAGGGGGATTGTTTGAGCTCTCGTTCGGGTTCTCGACTTGTTGTGGATTGAGTCCATTATCGTGGATTTATTCCACTTCATACTGGACGCAACAAGTGTGACATTTAGTTGCTTTGGTGTCGGCTCAGTTTTGGGAAAAATTTCACCGAGGTGGAGATTTGTTGAAGTTCAGAAAAATGGCAGAAAATAGTTTTTCAGGTTGTCTGGTCGACTGCGAGTCAGCTGCGGTTGACCGGAAACATGCACGAGGAATGAGCTGCTTTTTGGAGTTGAGACGGTCGACTGTCGCGGTCCACCATATAGACCCTGTAATCGACTTATGTCTCGGGAATCGATTTAGTCGACTATCACGGTCGATCGTGAGGACCCTGTAGGCGATTTGTTTTCTGTCGTGGGTGTGCGGTCGACCGTGGCGGTCAATCGCGTATCGGGTCAGAGTTAAGTTCAGTTTTCTGACCCGTTTTGTTTGCTGTTGGTATATAACCCTAAACCTGATTAATTATGGTTAAGGTAGGATAATTTGAGCAGTCTTTGACATAGTATTGTTGCATCCTTTGTGGGAGGATTTATGAGAGATCTAGAGAACTTTGTTCGAGGGTTTTTGGTGAGATTTGAAACCCTATTTGTAATTTTTTTTTATCTCTAATAGTAAAAACTCTCTCGTCCTTGCCTCGTGGACGTAGGCAACTTACCGGACCACGTAAATTGGTTTGTCTTGCTGTGATTGTGATTTGTGCTTGTGTTTTGGTTGTGATCTTTCTCGTTCTTGTTCATGTACTATTTGGCTTTCGAGTTCTGCTGTGCCCAACAGCTCTCTTAGAGAAGAGTAAGTGCATGGTTATTAGATGTTATGGGTAATTGGTAAAGAGTTAATGATATTGAAAAATTAATGGTAATTAATGGGAGAGGCTATGGAAAATTTGAGGGACGTGTGTTGATGTGTACGTGTTTGTATTTTGTGGATGAATGTATGTGTTGATGTGTACATGTACGTATTTTATAGATGAATGTATGTGTTTTAACGAGCATTTCTAGAAAAAAAAATGTTTTAACCTCCTATACACTTTTATAATAATAGTATAAGAAAATTCATACTAGTTTTATATTCAAAAGGGTGATACCGTTTAAACTTGCTGTAAGTTACACCCCTAGTCCCAGGATGATAAAACAACTGGATTAAAATCAAAATAAACATCTTCACACCTATCAATTCTTATGTACAATGATCAGCATTAGTTGAGTGAGTTTTCAAAGAACTTGTCCAGAATCTAATCAACAATCTGGTAACAATATAACAGAAAAAATGGAGTATAAAAACCTTGAACTGAGTTGGCTATGATGCAAAGCAACGCTTCCGTTTCAACTCTTTACACTACCATCTCAGCCTCTCTCAGGCTAGTCGGTATACCGATATCCAACCTCATTGTCGGTCTATATTTCTCCGGTACCTCTGCTCCTCCTTGCACGCAAATCTCCACCACTGCCGGAGCTTGCCCATAAAAAGTCCTCAGCTCCCTCTGCAGCTCCCCTACTCCCTGAGGCACATGCCACACATACCTCGGTGGTATCAAGTCATCCAGCACCGCCGATTGCCATCCGTGCTGCCCGTTCCTCTGCTGGTGCTTGTGGGCCCCGCAGTTCTGCGCCTTGTGCCCACTAGGCCCCACATGCACCTCCGGGCAGTATCCACAAACCCTAACTGCATACTTCTTCATCAGCCTTGCTGCCCCATCCGTCAGCTTATCCCATGTCTCTAGGGTTTCCTCAGCAAGTGAGGTAATCTCAACTCCTGTTGGAGGTATTATTTCACCGTCTGGAATCTCAGCTATAATTGGTTTCTTCTTGTATCTGGAATAGGGATCTAGGTCATCAGGCAGGTCATCCTCATTTGCGTCAATGATCTCACTCTTGCCAACACGGATCACAGGCTTCCTCCGTCTCTTGGTGGGGAGGTCAGGAAGGTCGACGCCGGCTTGGATGCAGAGCTCGATGATGGATGGGACACGGGGGATGGTGAATCGTTCTGAGTGAGTAATGCGCTTTCCAAGGCGATCATAAAGATGAAAGGACTCCATGGGGACAAATATGTCATCAACAGTTGCAGTGCTTGTCCATTCGTGAAGGCCCCTGCGGGACTCAGCACGAAATCCACGGCATGATCTGAAGGGGTGCCCTGTTGGTCCAACATGAATTTCATTGCAGTGCCTGCAAAGGCAATCACCATAAGTTAGGGAAACTAGGCCACACTGAATATGCCAAAGTTAATGCGTAATAGTTATATGCCTATATCATATCTTAATAATACAATGGAGTCAGGAGTGAGGACCAACAGTATTAAGGGTCTTGATGTTAAGAACAATTTGTTAAATCTTCATTTCGCCTGTCAAGTATGAGAGAGTGCTAGATGATGATATAATATGACTAGTGTGACAAAGTACGACTGGAACAATATAGTGTATGCTAGTTCTTTATATAAGATTTATCTATGAGAAAACTAAAAAACAACACCATTATCAAATTCAAGTACAGTAAGGTTGAGGTTTAATCTTCACAAGCTACCAGCATCGAAGCATTGAAAAACAAAATAAAATTCTTCAACTCATAGAACACAAATAACAAGAAGTCTCCCAAATTTCTGGGGTCAGCTAAACTAATGAGACACAAAGAGAATTGTATTTGATATGACTCGGATTAGAATTAACAACTCATAGCTAATCTGGTCTTAATTTACAGAAGTACAAGCAGTGAATAGCTAGTAGTGTACAGGAAATTGCAACTCCTGTCAACATGATCACTCATGCTGTCTTAGTTTTTTGTAGGTTTTTAACTCTCATTCATAAGTAACAGAAGTTAAGTTCACCAGTTGAATTCACAAGGATTGAGAGTATTTACAAGGCGTGCATAACAAGTACTGGATTCAGAACTACAGTGTGTACACGAATTTGTTTTACTCAGTGCCAACTCCAAGGTATGACAGAGTAACAAACCACCTTGGTCGGTGTGTGAATAGTGAACTGAGTTTGGATTAACATCAGGCTGCTAGTTTGGAGGTTCTGGACAGATTGGTCAGATTGGACCAAATCCACAATAGTGAGATGATATCCACATTAACAATCAGGATATATTCCCTTCTGACTGTACCTAACATGAGAAAGAACTTTTTGAAACTTTCAGAGTATGATGTCATCATCATCATCATCAATTAAGCATTTGTCCAAACACAAGCTACAGAGCATGTTTCCAAGGTTGTGAACCTAAGCACTAATTGAATTAGTTCCCCAGCTGGAAGTCAACTACATAACAAGCTTTATGAGTTACACTAGGATTCTAAAAGAATGCTAGGTGAGTGTGGACACTTAGGGTGCAGCGTACAGCCCCAAGCTGCATATGTGCCGACCTTACGAAACTGCTTGAAGGTGGAAGCCTGAGCTACCTTTCACAACACAAGATGACACTAAATTGTTTGTCAAGGCAACTATGAGAAAGCAAAGGATACTTTAGCAGAAATCCATTTTGAGCTACTGTGAGACAAGTCAAATATCTGAAGCAAGGGACCTCTGGACGAACTTGAGATAAACGCTTGAGACTCCATGATACTTGGTAAAACTGCCAGAGGATATGATTTGAGGACATAAGCAATAGCATCCAGAAATGCACCTTTCCTCCTAGACTGCTCACTATTCGCATGTGTACACACATACATGTACATAGACTTAGAACATTGTCCATGTTCTTTTATCTACTTTGTGTGTACATGGGTATGTGCACATGCATGAATACATGTGTAGAGGAGCATATAGTAGAACATTAATGCACAAACTAATAATAAAGAGATGAAACTTGTTAAAACTTCTCATTAAAAGAAGTCATAATAAATTAAAAAAATCCTCATATGAAGATCCTTCTATGAAATATTCAGACAAAATAAGGTTACAACCTTGTGTTGACATGGATAGACATGCCAACTAGTTGGGAGAAGTGTCCAATGAATTTATGTGCTGGTTTTATCATTGAGATGCATAGTGATGATAGCAAAAAAGTGACTGGAGCTATATGATAATAAGGATGCCCATAATGAAGCATGCATGAAAAAAGAGGAAAAAGGTCAGTAGCTTACTTGCATGCTTGAACTGGTACCACTTTCAGAAGCCTTTTCAGGTTGTTTATCAACATAACCCTTGCATTAAACACATCATATGCAACAGGTATAAGGTTTCTGACAAGCATCCCATTTCTTGGAGGTGGTGTTGGTTTCCTAGGCTTTCCACTTGCACTTTTCACTCTCTGCCTTGCTGCCCGTCTCAGTTCAACAATGGGTATCGGAAATGGTTTTTTCTCCCTCTTTGAGTAGTATCGAGGTAGATCAGCATTCTGAGGATAATTGCTTCTGATAACTGTGGTACTTGAAAAAGCTCGGGAACAATTACATTTCTCAACTCTAACCATAAATGAGAAATTACATCCCATACCCCCATACTGCAAAGTTGACAATAATAATACAAAAAAGAGGTAAATGAGGGTTCAGATCTATAATATTCATAGTAATATGAACTATGAAGAGATTGCCAATGAGAAACAATGATCACGTTCTTACAAGAAACGGTGCAGAACACAGAAACCAAGCTAAAATAATGCTCAAAATAAAATCAAGGTAAACCAAACTTTAGAATAGCTTCAGATACAGTTCATATCAAGAAGGAAGAATATCTTGGAGCAAAATAAAGTCAATAAAATGGAAAGGAAAAATTTTCTAAGCACCGTCTAAAATGAGCTTTACGAAAACGTTCCTTTCCATATCAGAAAATGGGCTATTCCAAGTTCAGTAGCATGTCCCTGTTGGTTAGAAGTTATCATGTATTCTTGAGGCACTTGAGATGTTGCACTCCATATAATTCAAAGGGATATTATGGATTAATACCATGTCAGACTACATAGACTTCCTCAACGATCATGTTATACAATAGAAATACTAGAAAAAGATGTTCCATTAAGATTCTCAATTGATTTCTCCGAGTCAGCCAATATGTCAGAATCAGAATAGTAAAAATCCTAGCCTTAAACAGAATGATCATCGTTCATTTAAAACCAAACTTCAATACAAATTATAGTAGACTTTGAACGAGAAACAAAGAACTTCAGAATGAGACAGGAGAACCTCCTAATGAACCATTACTCTCCCTGCAAAACAACTCAAGTTTTCAACTTACTCACTGACTGTCACAACTGCTAGCTACCGATGATTCAATTTCAAGCTCTTCCTACTAAAAGAAAGACGCCAGTTTATACTTTATGATTTTTTGTGCGCATATGTACAACCAAAAACCTTCAGTACCCTCCTAGCAGCACAAAATAGTACAATTGAACACTTAGGTTTGAGCTGCTTAATGATTTCCTGATAATCCTAACAAGTTTTATGTTATCCAGATCATGTAGTATCCGGCTCACTCCATATATACCTGTACCCTTTGTCATGTCCAGTACGATAATATTCCCTTACATTCTACAGCCATCTTTCTTGTATAAATACTACACTTGTATCTATGAAGATGCTAGTAAAAAGAAAGGGAAAAGTAACTTATCACTCCTCATCCTTGTATATCACAGAAAAAGGAGCCTTTTCACTAGTAGGACGTTGTGCAGTGGATTTGGAAACCAAACTTCAATATTTTGGGCAAGATCAAAGCCTTTTGTTAGTACCTGCAAATACTATGAATACTTGAGCTACATCCAATTAAGCGACTAAGCCTATGAACTTCTTCATGTCTTCTGATTATGTGCTCTACACATGTCAGACACCAATACTCCATAGACACACCATAGCTACCATGTTGGCCATATCAAGCCTTGTCCAACCTAAATTTTGATGTTTTAAGGTGACACAGGCAAAAACTATTTCCCGAACTGGGTTCATAAAATGAAATTGCTTCAAACTGCAACATATTTGAGTGCATGTTTTATATTCTAATGACCATGTATACATCACTGCTAGTAACATTCCTGTTGCATTGCGCATGGAAGACACAAGAGACAGAATGAGTAGCCTGAAGTTGGTTTCCCTAGCAACGCTTGGAGAGCCAAAGAAGAAAAATTTGGAGCAGACAATTGGAAACCCTTCCAGCCTGCTGCAGATACCTTGCTCCGAGAAACACTGCATAAGCAACTTTCTATATTTTGCTTGAGACTTTAGGCATGACATGCGTCCTGCATGTCCTCTGGCAGGATGTACAACGGCACACATGCACTTCAACCAACGACCAGCAAACAATGTGTTAAGCCAATGCTCAGCTAAAGGTGAAGAACTTGATAACTTGCTTCAAACCTCTTTGACTCAAAACGGCCAATTCCAAGCCTATGCAATCCTTAAGGTACCGTTAGGCAAAGGGTTAAGTGAGGGGTTAAGGAGAGGAGACTTAACCCCTTCTTAACCTGCCAAACACAACAAATCTATATAATGGTTAAAGTGAGTTAACCCTCCATAATTTGCCAAACATAAAAAATATAGAAGGGTTAAGTTAACCCCTCTAGAGGGATTAAAATGAGTTAACCCCTCAAAATGAGGGGTTTACTAATACTCCTATTTAGATGGAATAAGAGTTAACCCTTCTAATTATAAAGAAAATAGTCAAAATCATTGTTATTCCCAAACACTAAAACTGATCATGAGGGCTAAAATAAAACTTATTTAACGGGTTAATAATTTAGTCATTCGGATTATCAAATGGGCTAAGTACATTAATCCTTCTCTTTAATCTCTCTTCATTAACCCTTTGCCAAACGGGGCCTAAGGGTCTAAATTTATAACCCTCAATCCTCAGCACAACTACAGAGTAGTAGTATAGTGGCGGGGTCCTCTGACAGTAATCTTTTGCATGATGTTTACTGATTATCCTAATGCAAATAAAGCATCTACATGTTCATTACTATGAACCAAAGGGGCAACAAATTAACCAACTTCTTATGTTCACACTAAGATATTGATTTAAAAAACACAAATTTCGAGATCCCTAAGATAGATTAAAGATCATTGTGCCTGAATTTACTGGGAAAATCATCAATTTAATCCCTAAAAAAACCAGTGCCCAACAACTAAAAGCTCAACTGCAATGCAATAAAAGATGTCGGGAGGTCCCGTACCATTGAAGAAGTTGAGGATGCCAAGTTTGACATGGGTTCCCTTTTGTTCCTGCATGAAACCCTAACGAGCTTGAACTTGGGTGCTGAAACGCTAGATTCTTCCCATGAAGTTGGAATCTTGGACAGAAATGGAGACTGAATCGAAGTAGGGTGGCACACGGAAGCCATAATTTGCATCAATTATAATAAATTCTAATAATTCATCTTTTCCCCCACTCTCTCTCTCTCCCTCTCTCTTCCCTTTCCTATGGAGATTTTGATATATTTTTGCTTGTGAGGATAAGAAACCATTGATGAGCGCAGCGCCGAAACTAGGAAGAGGGACTGAAAAAGGGTCGGGCAAATTTGTCTCAATCCGAAATCCGCCCGAACCCGATAACACTCAGAAGCATGTGAACTATGCGTGGCCAGCAGCTGGCTGGTTGAGACTTGAGAATATAAAAGAGAGAAGTTGAAACTGTAATTCTTCTCCAGTAAGGGCCTTTTTGTTTCCTTAAAAAATGTAGAAAGTGGCAAAAAGTGACCCATCAGAAAACTGACGCAGAGAAAATTTATTGTTTTCCCCACAATCATATGTTTGGTTTGCAAAAAATAAAAAGAAAGTGAAGAAAAGTGGTGGCGCCACATCAGATTCTTCTCCCGAAAATTTTCCGTTCAAAAACGCCCGATTACGGAGGAAAACCCCACTTTTTCTCTCCGTACAAAAAAACGCGAATCTCCATCCCCTTCCATTCTCGCTCTGGTCACCCCTATCTCCCTTTCGTTCTTCTTCCTCCTTCCCCTTCCCTCCCACCTTCCAATCTAGGGCTCGGCCTCTTCTCCCATCGCGGCCTCCCCTCTACCCACTCCCTCTTCGGCGTCGACATTGCTATCCTCGCCGGCGACGCCCTCCTCCCCTTCGCCCTCCACCACCTCACCTCCTCCCTGTTGGAAATCTGAGCTTAATCTACATGCAATACGTAACAAAAAACTGTATGAATAATAATACTAAGCATGTAGAGAGCATGAAATACAAACTAGGACCATCCTAATTAAATCTAACATGATCCTTATAATAAAGAGAGCAACTAAGAGCTTCGAATGTTTACTTTCGTAGCATGATTCGATGGTAGATCGAACAACCCCTAGCTCGTTCTCCTTGTTGTTGTAAACCTCCTTGTAGTGAATCTCCAAGTCTTCAAGTGAGCTTGACAAAATCGGAGTCTTCTTAAGACACAAGGCAACATATCCACCCTGGGGTTTTTTAAAATCTTACTACTTCCTCTTACTCAAAGATTGCTAGAGTTTAGTAAGAGATAGAACGCTCTTTTATTCTCTTATAGAAAAAATCACTTAGCCAGTTTTTCATTAACCTCTCCATAAGAGAGAGAGAGAGCTCATATATATATATAGTAAGATATGTCATGATTTATCTCATGAGTCATCTAAATGTAATGATTCCTTTTATGAGTCATGCAATGACTCATCTCATGAGTCATGCAAAGAGTCATGAAGAATCAAAACCATTGTTTTGGGAAAAAAATATTTTCACTGCTGAATTCATTACAACTTCGGGCGTTACAATAAATTCAAAACAAAGATAGCCTTTTTATAAGACTTTCAATACAATAAAAATAAATTACAACTCTCTTTCAAACAACACGCAACAGATGTTTAACGCTTATTGCTTACGTGGGGTCTTTGCCTGTGTCGGGGATGTTGATATCCATGGACGACCGTGGATCAGATCCGGTTGCTGGAAAATTAACAGAGCTCCCACTTCACCAAGGAAGTATTCGCTTGAAGCACTAAAATCGACCAAGCGAAATCAATAGCTCTTCTCGAGATTAAGACTAAGCCTAATCTCAAGGAACAGACGGGGGAAATACGGCTTTAGATCATTCGAAAGCCTTCCTCTTTATACTGAAGTTCGTCGGGATCTGACTTGCCTTCACTGTAAATTCTTGCTCCTTTGACTCCTCAATCCAACAGCACCTCGCCCTCTTGATAATAATTCGCCCCCTGTGAAATGAGCCCCTAGGACTGTATTTATAGGCTTCGGTTGGGGTATTTGGATAAGAATGAGTGATTTGGCCTTATCTTCAGTTAATAACGGCCTAACCATATTTGTGGATGATATCCAATCAGTTTGGAAGCTCTGGAACAAACAAATCCCGAGAAAACAGCAACAGAACCGTCGAAAACGCATTTGAGAGCCGAAACTACGCGACACGCGCTGCTGACCCACAGAAGGGGTTGGGTCGAGCCGTGGCGGCGCGGGCTGACCCGTGCTGGCGCGGGTCAGCTGCTGCTATCCTGCATTAGCGTGGGAGTTTTGGCCTTTTGCTGAACTCTTTGGTGTTTTCTGATTTTTCGGGACTTGTATTTTCTGCTATTTTGCATATTTGATCGTCTTGTTGACTTGTATGCTTCGTTAACTTGTTTCATGCACTCGTTAGCTTTTTTATGGCACTTGGAGCTGACCAACAAGAGCGGCGGGCACTTGGAGCTTACCGACGCGCGTGAGCTAACTGACGAGCTTGTTCGGTCACTTGGAGCTGACTGACGCGCGAACTGATCGACATGTGTGAAGGCTAATTGGAGGTGGTCGGTGAGCATACGAGACACAGTTAGTTCGCCATTCCTGTTCATGCACTTGTCAACGTCAGATAATCCTCTTAGACTCGGATAACGACGTTCGTCATCTTCTCTCCGTCACGAGCTGTGTGTGGATACCTATAGGTATTTTTAGACGCCTACAGATATCCCTTCCAAAGTATTTCAGACTTATTCTTTTATAGAAGAATCTGGAATGCTTTGGATAAGATAGGCTTTTTTCCTCAATCTCGTAGAGGGACCTGTGAACTGCTTCAATTCTTAACTTCTTCAGCCTTCAGTCTATTTAGTATTTTGTCGAATAGATGAAGTTCTTCCGGTGCTGCGTTTATCGTCTGACCGTTGTCGAAATCTTGAGCTGAAGTTGATGCGTAAGTTTCTGAATTTAGCTCATATCATTGAGTTGACTTTGAACTGATCATCTTCGTCAGAAATTCATATCTGAATGCGATTAAACTCCCTGGAATCATCTTTTGCCTTATTTTGGCGAAATTACTAATACGTTGACCGGCATCGATCTTTACTGTAGCGCGTTGACCGGCGTTATCCTTTGCTGTAACATGTTGACCATTGTTAACATAGTTTATACTCGTACGTTTGCTGGAGTTTATACATTTTAAGCTCTTAAGGCGTTGGAGCGTGGCAGTCCCAAATATTAAGGCTGCATGACCAACTGTTAAAGTTGATTCATCTGCAGGTATGGATCTCATCCTGAGGTTGTCGGATCTTTGAGTCACGAGACCAATTAACAGGACTGGTGCATCAATAACTATCACATTTATAGAATTTTTAGTAAATTCTTAGCCATCAACAGGTTTGATTAGCCTTTACCGACTACCGTTTGAGTCGGGCTAGCATGCGATTTGTTTAAGTTCGCTCCGCATGTAACGTTGTACTAAAAGAGTTAACTCTTTTAGTTCTACGATATTGAATACGTAGACTTTGTCTTTTTTACGGGAATAGACTACCCGGCCGCATGTATTAGATACAGACTCAGGATTTTTAGCAAATCCTTAGCCATCAACGGATTTGACGTGCCTTTACCGATTACCGTTTGAATCGGATTTGTATACGGATTGTTTAAGTCCATTCTGCATGTAACGTTGTGCTAAGAGAGTTAACTCTCTTAGTGCTACGATATTGAATACGTAGACTTCGTCTTTCTCACGGGAATAGACTATCCGGCAACACGTGTTAGGCGTTGACTTATCTCTTCTTAGGATTCGGGATAAAAGTCCCCAGACTTAGATTTTGTGTCTTTTTATTCGGTAAAAGACTAAACCGGCAATGCGTGTTAGGCGTAGGTTTATCTCTATTTAGGAGTCGAGATAAAATTCCTCGTACATGTAAGACGCGGATTTTGGCGTTATTAATAATGGCCTGCCACAATTTCGAATATATGGGCTTTTGTCTTTTTTACGGTAAAAGACTAACCGGCAACGTGTGTTAGGCGCTGACTTATCCCTACTTAGGCTTCGGGATAAAATTCTCCAGACTTGGATTCTGGTGTCTTCTTCAATCGGTGAAAGACTAAACCGGCAACGCGTGTTAGGCGTTGACTTATCCCTACTTAGAATTCGGGATAAAATTCTACACGCGTGTAAGGCACGGATTATGGTGTTATTAATAACAATCTACCACAATATCGAATATGTGGGCTTTTGTCCTTTTTACGGCAAAAGACTAATCAGAAACGCTTGTTAGGCGCTGACTTATCCCTACTTAGGCTTCGGGATAAAATTCCCCAGACATAGATTATGTTGTCTTTTTCAATCGATAAAAGACTAAACCGGCAACACGTGTTAGGCGTTAACTTATCCCTACTTAGGATTCAGGATAAAATTCCTCGCGCGTGTAAGGCACGGATTATGGTGTTATTAATAACAACCTACCACAATGTCGAATATGTGGGCTTTTGTTCTTTTTACGGCAAAAGACTAACCGGCAACGTGTGTTAGGCGCTGATTTATCCCTACTTAGGCTTCAAGATAAAATTCTCTAGACTTAGATTCTGGTGTCTTTTTCAATTGATGAAAGACTAAACCGGTAACGCGTATTAGACGTTGACTTATCCCTACTTAGGATTCGGAATAAAATTCCCCATGCGTGTGAAGCATGGATTTTGGAGTTGAAAAGTAGTTTCTTCTCTTGGGGCAAAGACGAACCCGATGTTGGAGAGAAAGAATTTTATATTCTATCTCTAGTTGTAAAGGAAACTTAAAGTGGGATATCCACTTTGAGAATCTAAAGAGTGAAATTAAGAGTGGGATCTCACTCCGAGAATCGAAAAGATTTAGATAATCCTAACTGTCGGAAGGTTTAATTACCGAACTAAAGATGAATTTCTCGTTTATCGAGAGTGAATTGTGGTTTTGGCCCTAACTGTAGGAAGGTTTGACCAAGCAGGAGTTTGAGGCGATTCTAACTGTATGAAGGTTTGATCGTTCAATTTAAAAGTGGACCTCTCGTTCATGGAAGGAATCGAGAGGAGATTTTGGTTGTGGTCCTAACTGTAGGAAGGTTTGACCAAATAGGAGATTTAAGACGACCCTAACTGTAGGAAGGTTTGATCATTCGATTTGAAAGTAGACATCTCGTTCATGGAAGGAATCGAGAGAAGATTTTGCTTGTGGTCCTAATTGTAGGAATGTTTGACCAAGTGTGAGTGAGAGTACAAATCACAGTGGGAGTTTAGTGTTTATTACTTCATTTGTAATGATCGGGTTATCCCTAAGAAAATACCATATAACATTTTTCTGGGAACTTCCCGTTATATGAATTCGGGAAC